GTTAATTAAGATCAGAAAAGGTTGAAGTTATTGCTTGATTAATCCCCGTAGCTCTTGCTAAAAAATATTGTGTACAGAGAAGACGATAGATTACATGTTTCAAAATCAAGCGTTATGTATACCATGCCAATACTCCAGCCGAGCTGGACAAACTTCTCTATTACGCATCAAACACCCTTCTTGAATTGCTTGCCCGTCCGAATTTTCGTGATCTAGCAAAAATATCCCATGCTTCCCATGAAACAAAAAAATGATGGCCGCTACAGAAGTGTTAGGGAAGATTCTCAGATGGTAGAGGTCTATAATGAAAATCAGAAGCTCATGTGGGTCTGTCCCTTATGGCTAGAGCCCCCAGCGCGCGCGGTAGCCTGCGTGGCCGCCTGGTAACAGATAATGTAGCGGGACTTAGGTTCATGTGAGAGGTAACATCGCATGTGTATATACATATTTTATTCTTTATATATTGAGTATATTACGGAACTGGATCAAAGGGGAACAGGGCAAGTGGGCTGTCACCGATGCAATGAGTGCTACCCACAGAGTTGGATGAACGAGGTGGGGCAGCAGCAGCCCAGTCGCCAACCAGCTCGTTTTACGGGTGCCCGGTGCAACGTCCGCATCTTTTCTGACAGGTGGCCTCGTTTGGGTGGCAGTCAGGTGGCGAGGATACGACATCTCTATTCCTTACTGCAAACTCGTCCTCGAGCTTTGAATAAGCTCTCAAGCGGTACTGTACGTCGTCGGTTGTTGGAAGTTGATGAAAACGGATAGAATGAATTCGTATCCTAAAATATCGTGCTGCTAGTTGATCGTGTAGTAATATGGACGAACCATATTACTACACGTGTCGCGTGTCGAGGATACGACAGCACTATCACACGCATGGTTCGCGGATTGAATTTCGAGTCGCTACCCGTCCAGGCCAACCGAGCTTTCCATCCCTCTGGGATCTGTAAATTGCTATTGGATTTGTGTGGGGGATAAAAGCGCTGACTTATGCAGCGGTTGACCACCGCGGCATTGTATAGGGCATATACGCATCCAAATCGCCACTACTAATCTGAATGTAAGTCGAATACGTAATCGAAAACGAGCTTGTTCAATGTCAAAAGACTTTCAAGTCTCCATGAATGGGTAATATTTATCATCCCGTTGTGTTTGTTTTTGTCGTAATAATTCTGTTCGAACTGTGCCTTTCAAGGTGCTGCTACTAGTCGCGAAGTATTCCGTTGCCTGTGGTCATCTCGGAAAAGCAGCGATCTGTTTGCAAAAGCTTATTGGCGACATGAGAGGCAGTAGCAAAGATGCTACCGTGGTCGAAGGAGCTCTCATCGAGGTACTCCCGTCGTCTGTTTCTTTGTTTCTTGTAAGTGCACCAGCTTTTGGATCTGTGTATTGCTTTTCAAAGGAAAACGTGATACAGAGTTAAATCTTTGGCGCATACGGCTGCAAAACCTTTGCTGCAAAGGCATCTTAACAAATTTATGATACGATGGAGGATGCACTGATTAGTAGGGTTACCCACCAGGTAAGACAGTAAATTAGAGGTGGCTCGAATTATCACAGGAAAGTACAGTAGCGACGCAATCTGGATCTTGAGAGAATGTTAGGGCTCAGCAGTGATTGAGAAGACCGCCTTAGCTTGGCTGTGGAACGCTCAAGGGAATCTGAAATTGAACAGTCATAACTAAGAACAGCTGTGCACAGTCATGGTTATTGAATAACTGGAGTACGGCTCATTATTAAATAACTGGAGTACGGCTCAATTGCCCGCTCTTTCACAGATTCGCTTCACTCGATCTCCTCAAGTCTTACTCTACTCGAGTCTTTCGAGTTGAAAAATGAAAAACGGAGAATGAATTGAATCGAACTCTGGCAGCTTCTTGTCATGCCGTCGTCGGAAGGTTATCATCGGTTTGGTCGTGATACGTTTTACAGTACCCACTTCTGAATATTAATAAAAGTGCGTTCCAGATGCACTCTGTTACACATGATTATGCGTCAAGAGGTATTGCTCATTGCTTGCAATCTTAATTGATTTCAATAGACCGGCACGCACGGAATCGGTATACATGTGACTATATTTACGACTACTTAGATTTGCGAGATACTGGGTTGGATTCATATTGCGGTTCGTTTGAAGAATGATCGTTTGGTGCGGAATCGTTCTGCTTATCGTCCGTTCTGAAGCATGCACTTTGCAACCTGGTTGTAATCAGAGTGAAGTCGACTTTTTGTTAGCATCCCGATTTTGTTATCATCTTTTATCCTCTATTCAGATTTACTCAGACTGAATTATTTTTCAGGAGAAAGATATTTTGCTTGAAGAGAAGAAAGGTTCTGGAATCTATCCTATCCTTTTTTTCCTGAGAATTTTCGACTGCTGCTCTTCTCAACCAATTTAGTGAATAGGGGATTTTAATGTGCAATGGTTAAGTTCCTTGTTACTCACGTATTAGCATTGTGTCATGACTTTTACACGTTTATTTTGCTTCACCTCACTTCTCGTTGTCAACTTGAATATTCAAAAAGAGTCGTCCTCGTTTATTACCTGGTGATTCGTGCCTTCATATCACAGTTTTAGATTTTTTCTTCATTCGACAGTACGGTTCTGGTATTTTTTTGCTTATTCTGCCATGTTTTTGGTTCCTAAGGATGTTTTTTCCTGGGTATGTGGTCTGTTTTATTGAGTAGCCTAGCTGTTGATTGCAATGGAAGCAAATGACGTGAAGTGTTGGTTGATCCATTATATAAACTTCTTGATATTCAATGGAGTCAGCTTGCTTCATTCACTACACTCGATATGAAAAATTCTCGATATGAAAAAGTCACAAAGCACGCCACCTCCGCTAAATTTCCGGTTCAGCGGAGCGCCGCTCCAAGATTCCACTAGACATCAAAGCTGGATCACACAAGTGACAGCCCAGCATTTTGAATCCGGACTGTTCGTACTACAGCAATGGATATATGATGTGTAGAAACGCCTGTTTATTACTACATATTTTTTTTACAAGGCAAGTCAGTTATAAGGATACCGAGCGCGCGCAGTGGAGCGGCTAGTGTCGCGTAAGGCGAGTCGTCGGAATAGGATATCTTCAATGCATTAAAATGAGCCATATGAGACACGTCGATATTTTGAGGTTTCATCATTAAACGATAAGATACTTGCTCATAATGGTCATAGCATAGCTACTAAATGACATCAACACAACAACCAAATATAAGCTTGGTTTTGGGTATTTGGGACGTAGCCTTTCAGAAGAGTGACGATGGAGATAAAGGGAGAGTCGACGCCTGTCATGGTGGGTTCTTCTCATCGTGTCGGCTCGAGAGCCGCTCTCAGAGGTTGGGCCATGTGTGCAGGTTTTATAATGTTTATGCAGTGAACCAGATATAAGAGTCTGGAGGTGGAAAAGACCGAAATCCGAAGGCAAGAGCCCGTGAGAAAGCTAAGAAAGTAAGAGAAACGTAAGAAAGTAAATGAAGAAAGAGTGTGAGAAGCGAGTTCTTATCGGCTGAGTAGGCTCTAGTCGGTAGTGGGGTGGAGGTCAATGAGAGCCGCTTTTTCATTGCGCAACATTGCTCGACGCTCGCGAATGGGGATCTTAGTTCGCTATATCCATGGCTTATCTCATCTCGCGTATTTGAGGGTTGCCGTCGGTCCTCGAGGGATACAGTCGACAAGCCCCACGATCAAGCTCGCCGCACACTGCCGATGCGCCTCCTGGCTGGCTCATCTACGATAAAGTCATTCAACACAGTATTAGTTCATCAGAATAAGGTAGTTCTCTCTAGATTTGGTCGCTGAACCGCCCTGAGAGCATCCCGCTCAATATCCCCTTTGTGCAGAATCATTAGTGGCTCAACAGGGCAACGCCCACCTCAATGCAGACCCCATTAAGAAAATTCGGTCACCTCTTGGCTGCTCCTGACCATTTTCTCCGCATTCCAGAACGTTTTCAATCATAGTTATGAATTTTCGATCTGAGCCCCCCCCCCTGAACAATTTTGA